GGCCCCCTACCACCACCACTACCACTACCACCACTACTACCACCACTACCTCCACAACTACCTCACCTCCTGCTACCACTACCTCTCTCCCTCCTGAAGAGGATGAGGAGGAGGAGGAGGTGGTGGAGGAGGAGGAGGAGGAGGAGGAGGAGGAGGGGGAGGAGGAGGATGAAGAGGAAGAAGAATTAGACGCAGATCATAATATTGGTGACATTGAAATTGAAGAAGAGACTGAGGGAACCAAACCTCACGTTGCGGAAAGTGGTAAGGAGTCAACCCCTGGAAATGTTTGTCATGGAGAACGGTCCTTGTAAACGCGACCATGGAACCTCAGAATATGTGGTGGTTTCTTCAGTACTAACCAAACCTCGTGAATTCCTTGCATGCCGATTCTTTGGAATTTCTAGTATGTAGAATGCTTGCCATTCGTGTCTGCTCAACTAACAAAACTTAATAGGGCATGTTAGATCTTTATTCATAGTTTTTTTAACGCTTCAATCTCTAGGTTATTTTCTTTAGAGTAATACTGTTATCGTTTCCATTTCTTTACTCTTAAATTATTATTATTTTTTTTCTTTTTTTTTTTTGCATTGGAGTTTTGGTTGACAACATTTGTTGCGCTGTTATAGCTTTCTTTTAGGCATCGGTACATTGTTGCAATAGACTCGGCAATGACCTGTGATGACTCCTGACGTGTTTTGTGTCCTTATCGCAAATTATAACCTAACGACCCAAATTACCTTCCCGCGAGATTACCCAAAAGAAGTGTGTTTGCATATATGTAGTTATCTGTGTGGTGGAGTGGACTCATTTAAAATTTCCTTGGTGTTGACTCTCCTTTAAAGCCTTGAACAACCTGTTGTCTGCAGTTTCTGAATTTCACTAATAGCAAGTGGTCTTTTGTTCCACAGGTGTCCCGGCTATTGAATCCTCAGGTAAGGGCTTGGGATCTGACATATTTCTTGAGAACGTTTTTTTTTTTTTTATTCCGAAAGATTAGTGCTGCTTGACAAACCTTCCAGCAAGAGAATCTGGTCCTCTAGGTAGGAGGATCTGTACCCCCTTGGCGCGAGGATTAGAACCATTCGCCAGAGTGTCAATTCTCTATTATTTTGTCTCAGAAATGCGAGAAGTGGGATGTTCTCAAAACCCTGACATTGACAATTTTCTTGCGGTCAGTTTGTCAAGATGTGTTTATCTTGGGAGAACTTTTCTTCCTGCAGCTTCACTTTTTTCTTTTGCGCTTCGTTCTGTTGCACAATTTATTGCTAGTTTACCAAATTTTCTTATTTCCTTACCATACTGAATGCTGTTTCAGTGAATTATTATATCTGCCCAGACCTTATTAATGTTTGAAATTTATTCTATATGGTTGTAATTGGTAATTTCTTCAGCAGAATGTACTCTATTTTTTCTCCATGCTAAATCATATTTATATTTTGAAAAATAATGCAATTTTTGTCTGAATTAGCTACAATTTACAATGTGATTATCCAGTTTTCATCGCATTCATAATTTTCTATTGCAAATGTGGCACTTTGAAATAGAAAATGTGGGTTGTAGTATAACATATACGGTTTTAGCGCTTTTTCAAATAATGGAGATGCCAGAAGTAACTTATGTGTCAGAATTTGGCACCAGTAGAGTGATAAGTTCGTTAGTGTGTAGTTTCCTTCACCTGACTCTTAGTCTTCCCTCAGGGGCGTCACGGGGTCAGTCCCCGAAAGGAGGATCGAGCCTCCATCATTCCACACAATTACACATTTTGGTTTTATGCTGCCTTGTTATTTATTACAGAGTAAACATGTATTTTAATTTATTTAGGTGTGTAACTTAACCTCAGTCTCCCTCTCCTGTGTACAGTGTCAGAAGGGCAGCTCCTGCAGGTCTACAGCTTAACGATCTCCTCACTACTTCTTATTGTCCTCTATCACTACTGGCAACACTGAAGGAGGTAAGTAGATGGAGAAGATTCGGAGACTCCTTCACACGACAGTTCCTTCTTTACTATCACTCTTTATAATTTAATGTTTGCTGATAAAAACGTTATTGATCCAAGGAATTGGAGCGCCCTTTCCACTTCGAATAAAACTCTGGGTATCTTCCACTTCTTGATGGTTTCAAGAATCTATTGAAACTTATGCAGTCTGACTCTTAACTACTTCTCATATACAATTTTTAATCAAACTACACATTTTAAATTGTATGTTTCTAACCCCTTCTTTACAACCCAATTTTCTTTTTACAGAATAATACTGCTATTACTGAGACAATATTTTGCTTGAGTAGAGCTTTTTGAAGTTAAGAAAATGTCCTACATAGAGCGAAACGTTGTCCTAATAAAAGCCTGTCGTGCTACAGGCATCGTTTCTTCAGTTTTGTTAACAGTACGACGTTTCGATCTGTTATCATTGCTCCTTTAGCTTTCACTGCTGAAAAAAAAATTAAAAAAAAGTGCACCTTGATACTAACTGAGGGCTCTTGATCCAGTGAATTGGATAAAACCTCTTTAACTCCTATTCTTCATTTTCCGTATTACCCATGCGAGTTTAGTGCTTTCACATCATTTTAAATATATGAAAAAATCATTCGAAAAAGATTCAGACCAAATATTCTGAATTGCTTTTATTTATTTATTTATTTATTTATTTTTTTTTTTTTGTAAATTACGTATCTCTTTTCTTAGATGTTGCCAGACGTTTAGTTTGCAAAAAAAAAAAAAAAACGAACTCGCTTAATCTTTCACTGTTTTTTATCACCTTGAACAAGTGAATTAAACGAGAGCACCTTGGCAACTCTTCTTTTTTTCCAGACTTTAAGCGGTTAGTCTGCAAGTGTGAGTTAATGGTGTGTGTGTGTGTGTGTGTGTGTGTGTGTGTGTGTGTGTGTTACAGTACGACGACTTTAGCATAGTTATCACTCAGTGTACTAGAAGGTCAACCTATTTATACCCTTCATGCATCTAGTCTGTTTCTGGCTTGTGTCGGGTTTGCCGGTAATAATTCTTCGGTTCAGTGGACCACAACTTCCCCACTAAATAAAGAATCGACGGAAACTGCTGCTGATCAGGTTCCAGTGTTCTCTCAGTGGTTCCAAAGTTTTGATCCACTGAGGAGTACTGTAAAAGTAAGTAACTTTGATTAATATTCAAACCACGTTATCTCGTGTTGTGTACTGATCATTATCTTCATTTATCAGTTTCTTACAAATGAAGCGCCTTGATGCCGGTGAAAGGCTGCTGATCCGAGGAGCTCCCCCCCCCCATACCCTTCTCGGATCATAGCTGATTACCTCCCATCCTCAGGCACTGTATAATCCCTACAGGTTTGGCGATTTCCAACGAATGTAATTCACTTATTAATTATATTATTTTTTTTTTCAGATGATATTCCTCTCGACCGTGTACAGCCGTGTCGCACACCAGCCTCCCCGTGTGATCCGTATTTTGCAAGTCTCATGCAAAACATGCGGATGAAGAGCAACTTAGATATGCAGACTGTCCTGTGCGTGGGAGTGTTGGAACACGGAAGTTTTTACGATATAAGACTGCCTTTTTTCTTGTGAGCTTTGAAGAGGGAAGCATTTATACACTCGTACGCATCTACTGCTGGAGTGAGGGAAGTGGGGGACACAACAAGAGAACCTGTGTTTTTCCTCCCAGAAAAGCCACATGAATTCTGTCTTTCCCATTCCTCTGCTACCGAACTCATTTTCTTCATCTCTCACGTTATATACCCGATATACGCGTGATATATCCCCGTGATTCATTTCCTCAAGCTTTACTTCTCCTAGATCCACAACACCAGTGGTCAAGACCAGTGACAAGATCTTCACCATCACACATCGTCAGCCAACCATTACCGCTTTTAACTTTATAAAAAGTGCTTATTTATTCTACTTACGTATCAGTTTGTAATGATTTATTTTAATTTTAGTAACCTAACAGAAATTTTAGCAGTGAGCTAGAAATATTTCCTTTTTAGCTTGTGTATCTGGTCATTCTTCTTTCATCCAGGGACATAACTGCAACTCTTATGTCTCTACCCTACGTGTCCAGTCCCATAGAACTTAGTGGCTAAGTTATTTTCATTTACGAGTTATATATGGCTATTATTGTTTCCACAAAATGTAAACAGAAAGCTTTTTTTTATAGCTATTCACTAAGACAAGGCTAAAGTTAGTCACGTGCCTAGCAGGAAGTTTAATTTGAAAACTTTTCTGATTCACTCTCAGAATAGACAAATATTTTTTTGGCAACGTATTAATAAAACCAGACTGGTAAATATACTCGCAGACTTGATATTTACGTCTAATAACATCAGGGAATGTAATTGAGCGTTCTTTCACCTCTTTTTTTTCAGATCTTCTCCCATCTTCCTCTTCCCTCTTTCCATTTTCCTCTTCTGTTCCCGTTGTCTTCTGCTGCTCGCAAAAACCAAGGTGACAGCCGCTAAAAATCTTAGTGTCTGCTCAATCGTTCCCATTTTCTGAGCGATCAATCTCCCGACGCAATCACCGAAAAAAAACGGATGATGATGATACCAGTGTCCAGCCGATCTATAAGACTCGACTGAGGAAACGTACGCAGTTATATGAAATATTTTCATCGAATCTGGCTCTGCTTTCCACGTTGGGTGACAGGTATTACCCACAAGTATGGTAGTAAGGCACTTGCTGCAGAGTAAAATCTTTATTATAGTCGACGTTTCGCTCAGAAACTAGAGCTTAATCAAGTCATGGTAGAGTTTTACCTAGAGCGACATGTCGATAATAAAGTGTCTTTTTTTTACCTTACTTTTTTCCATGCTATCGTCCAGTTTTTGTGTTGAGGGTAATGTACTTAAATATACATTGTGTTCATCAGCATTAATGTACAAAGTGTGTGGTATGATTTCATATAAACTGAAAAATCGAAGCTCTTGTTCACACGTGTGTGTTCCAGACATTAAGGAACTGGAGACAAATTGCATTTGCAATAAGATTTCACAAGATTGCAACCAGGTAAACTCCAGATCGTGAATTTGCATGTCTGGAATCTCTGGACAAAATTCTTGGCCCTGTTGGTCAAGAACTCCACTGTGTAAAAAAAAAATAAAGCGGTGATGCATTATTGCAAAGAAGACCCCCAGGCTGGTTGATGTCGGGTGCAACGAGTGTCGAAGGAGGGAAACCCTCACGGGCGACACACATTCCGGAGTCGCGCTGGACTTGAGGACCAGTCGGTTCGAAGGGCATACTGCCGACAGGAATCAAGACACATGTAGACCAAGCCTTTCCTGGGACAATGAACGTTGTTCCAGTAAAGCTCTGTTCTGTTATGTGTGTGTCTGTCTTTATTACAGTCTCACGCACTCGCGGCACGCGGGCCCGTTTCGCGGTTGCGCACTTTCGTAGGTCGAATTCTTACGCAGGTTGCGCTCAGTCACGGGTCATGCACAGAGATGGGTCATTAGAATATTGAAGATTTACTGCACTGGGCCAAATGACCCATGCCATGCATGGTCATGAGTGTGATTGACCCCAAGGGTCACATACACTCACCTGCCTGTTTGTGTATGCAGCATACTGACCTACAACATCCTCAACATTACAACCCACATCGTTCCATGACTGCTTGAGTGTCTCTTCCCCGGTAATATGTATACTTGATTACCTCGTGTTCTTTCATAGCTACGTTGCGTATTGTCTCATTCTGTATGATTTCTAGTCCTTCTACTATGTATGATAAGTTCGTAATGAAAGACAATCAAAGAGCTTTAGAGTATGTTACAAGCTTGTAAGATTATTCTCACAATCTGTAAGATTTACTAAAACTTTTCTCATCTGTCTGGCTCTAATAGTAATAATAATAATGCGATCTGTTTAAGTATATTTTTTTTTAAGAATTTGCTGGCAAATCATATAAAAAAATTGAGAACTAAATGAAAGAATTGTGGTTTAATATTCTGCAAGTTGGTCATAAGATGTATTGACATGTTCACTTAATTTAAGGTTTAAATACACTTTGATGGTGCTATTAATTTTAGTTTTGGTTTCATTTTGTGTGGTATTGTTTTCTTTGATTCACGCGATGATACACGACTATCACCACGACCACCACAATGACCATCCACTACGACCACCACCACAATGACTAACCACTACGACCACCACCACAATAACTGTCTGCTGCGACCACCACCACAATGACCATCCACTACGACCATCACACTGTAGCACCACAATTACCCCTAACTACAACGACTACAGACACCCGGCCTACCACTACGACCAACCCGCCCACCACCACAACCTCCACAAACGCTAACACATCCAAAACCTCGACCATGACTAACACCACCACCATCAACATTAACACAACCGCTACCACTAACATGACCACCACGACCTCCACAGACGCACCACCACCCGCACACTCCCATCTCTAACTCCATCACTACCACCAGCGGACGTACAGGCATGATGCCCACAGCTATACAGTTATGAGGGCAAAATACAGAACAAGTTTTTATGGGGACAACGCTTTCCTGAAATCAGAGGAACATCATGACTTAACAAAGCTCTCTTCTGAGTGACAAGTCCGGATAAAAGCTTGTTCTGTATACTGTTATTATTCCCCATCACCACCTCGACAAGGGTTATTTGGGTACAAGTCTCTCAGAGCTTAGTTAACCCCCAGTTAGTTTTCTAGTACAAGGTTAATTTAAGCTCTGGTTTTTGTACCCTCCAGTTAACTAGACTGCTGATTGCTTCATACCAGTTCCAGTCAGGCATTTTCGTTATGACATTTTGTACTTATTTTTTTATGCTTTAAGTGTTTTTTTTATAGAATGACTGCTAATCTCGGTGTGTGTGTGTGTGTGTGTGTGTGTGTGTGTGTGTGTGTGTGTGTGTGTGTGTGTGTGTGTGCGTGTGTGTGTGTGTGTGTGTGTGGGGTATTTGTTTTTTGTGTGCGCCGGGTAAATCTCCAAGTCTCTCTGAAACGTTGAAGTAACATTGGTCATCAAGATTCTAGTTTAACAACACCGCCTCGGGTGGAAACCAAACGAAGAGCGTCACTTTAGTGTCCACTTGCCTTAAACTTACCGTTGGTTGATACCATATCAAGTGACATCTGTTGTGTGTCGTATGAACCAAGCGATTCAGCTGCTACTACCATCACCGCTGCTGCTGCTGTCTCCCTACGCTAGCGATGATTGGAACACTTAACGCTGGAGTGTTTCCCTATCTCCCACCCAGAAAAAAATATGTACATAATATTGATGATGTGTGTAAAGTTTTGTACGTAAATTGTAAATACTCTAAAAAAATTATAATGTATGTGTATTGAGATATTACTAGGCCCACATCCTTAGCCTCACTAGAAGTGATAGGCCTTCTAACTCAACCTCATTATTATTATTATTGTTATTCTTAGTTTTTAAGATTATACATAATATTGCAAAGACTGATTAACAACCAATTTATTACAATTTTCACCAATTCAACAGTCGTTCAAAAATATGTCCTAATTTTCTAGACTGTGAACGGTATTTTTTTCCTGTTTAACGCTAAGTTTCCCATTAGAATCTATAAAAACAATTGCAGATTTTTGCTTTCTTCCATCAGTTAGCAAGACATGTTTACGTGTACTAGTCATTGTGTCAGTACTCTGAGTGAGGAAACAGCGAGCGTCGGCTCACCACGGTCCAGACCCACCTAGTGTAAACATCACAGCCGTTTAGTGGTCCCGGGTGATGCGGGTCGCTCGCTTCGTTTAATTAAGTCGCCTATTATTGCTAGTGTACAAGGTGTGTACTATATTGTTTGAGATTAAAATGTTTATAATAATAATCTGGTATGTTTATTTCCTTCAATATTTATAGTTATATATTCCCTTCAGTGATGTGATAAGATCACAAGAAATAGATATCTTGGTATGAATTTTTTCATACCAAGATATCTGTTTCGGGATCTCTTACAGCCTGGTTAATCAGGCTATTGTTATTGGCGACCCACTGGCCCTAACATATCCATCGCCACGTTGTGGTGAATATGTGGGTGGGCAGCGGGCCGCCAGCAACAACAGCCTGGTTGACTAGGCTAGCACCTCACAGGAGTAGGAAAACTTGTCAAAGGTATATTGTAAAAAATCACGATAATGCTTTGCTTTTTTTTTCCTCTTTGATGTGATTATAATATTTGCAATGTTTATTTTTCATTTACGTTGATGTATATAAAATACGCAATTATTATTTTTGCTATTATAATTATGTACATTACCTTTACTGTTCATAGTAATATTTAATTATATTTATTTCCTTTCGAGAAAGAGGGGATTGGGTGGAGACGAGATCTTGATACCAATGATGAGCTCTTCTTCCGAGGACCTGGTGAGGCGTCTTTCTTTGGGTCATACTTGATTACCTCTAATTCCCCAGGCGCTGGAATGATCCTTACGGATTTGGCGCTAACCCCATGCAGAACGCAATCTGGTATCCCTGTCCAGTGGCGGGTCATCATATGATTAAGACCCGCGTCAGGAAACACTTGTTCTGTTTCCTGACATACCTTACCTAACCTAACCTAACCTAACCTAGCTTATCCTTCCCCACCAAGGCTCGTGGCAACACAAGTGTTGAAATCCGCCGCTCTGTTGCGGCTTGACTTTCTCACTTCTCGAGATCTCTTTTCGGTGCCTTGATACAAGTGAAGATATCTTGTATGTAGGTAAATGGTTCAGAGAACCTACAAGGTGATAAATTAGTCACATGTGCCACACTTGGGTAAATTATTTTTTAAACGTTTCGCCACACAGTGGCTTCATCAGTCCAATACCAAGAATAATGATGAGGATAAGGAAGAGTTTGAGGTAATTAGTCCTTCAGTCTAGAATCGATGTCATCAGTCCAATTTTAATATTGGACTGATGAAGCCACTGTGTGGCGAAACGTTTCCACAGTAAAGATACTCAAGTGTTGCATATGTGCCTAATTTATGAAGAGCTCTTGATCTAAGGCATTAGAGCTCTCCTCTGGATCAAAGCTGTTTAGCCCTACGGGTTAACCAACATCGCCAGCAAGAGAAGCCGAAACGGAACACCAGAAGAAAATCTCTTCTTGGGGGATGTTGGTGAGGGCTCTTGATTTAGGGAATTGGATCTGTGCTCCAGTTCCCCGAATTAAGCCTGAATGCCTTCCACATCCCCCCCAGGCGCAGTATAATCCTACGGGTTTAGCGCTTCCCCCATGATTATAATAATCTTCAAGGGGGTGCCTTATGTTGGTGGAGGGCTCTTGATTCTAGGAACTTGAAGTCCCCCTTCCCCGTCCTCGGATCAAACCTGATGGTATCCCATTCTGAAATCGCTCTATGTGAACCTTGAGGATCGTATCTAAAAGTTACCAAAACTGTATTTATTTTATTTTCTCGAGGAGGGTCGACTTATCATGTGATCTAGAAAAATCCCGAGAGGTTCCTTGATGCTGGTGAGGGGTACATGATCCAGGGAATTGGACCTGTCCTTACCGTCCTTAGATTGAATCAAAATGCTTCTCATTTCCCCAAGCTCTTTATGAATGTAATGGTTATTTAGTAAACACAACCACATGATTACAAATTTTTATGATGCCTTACTTTTAAATGAGATGGAAACGTAAGTCCGGTAAGCCAGCGGATGCTTAGCCACATAACAGGTCATCTGAGGAAGACTTGTATCAGAAAGTACCCTGTCCTGTTTCCTGACGAATAAAATATCGACAGGTAGGACACATCATCCAGTGGAGCCTTAACCAGGTAAGTGAATCTCCGAGCAACATCGAGTAAGAAAACATTAATTACTGTGATACATAAACAGAGCATTTTGTCATGGATGGGAAGAGAAGGACTTCGGTGTGTTTTCCTGAAACTGAGATAGAAAACATTATGTAAATTAATAGTAACAGCCCTATGATCTGCTTACCAAGTTTGATTTCAGTTTTATCGCCGGTAACCCCCTAACCCTGCACACCTCTGCCTCACTCCCTTTCTTCCCGAGTTCCCACTTTTGTATACCCTTTACCTGCAGCGCTGTATGACCCTTCCGGTTTAGCGCTTACCTTGTTTATAACAATAATAATATGATCTGCCTCAGGAGTATAATGATTCTCCAACATAAAAATCAATAAATCACAAGCCTGAATATCCAATTATCATCAAAAATAGCTAATATATTGGCACTGAATACCAAATGAGGTTTTACATGCATCAATGCGCAACACTTAACTGCTCAGAATGTCAATTGACTCATTAGCTTCCGTCACGATGTTGAGCATGCGAAGCCTTTGTTGTGGTATTGTGGTTGGCCACCGTCTGACTCCAGTCATGCCAAGATTCCGGAGTAATTACTGTAGTGACTGAAAATATTGATCCTAGTGAAAATCCACAATGATATTTGATGTTTACAATAATGACGAGGTGTAGCGAAGGATTTCCTCAGACTCCGAAGTGAATTAAAGTGATAATTCAGAGGAAATTGATAGTAAGAAGTTCCTGAGGGAGGGAGAGGCAAGTGACCACAGCCTAGTGCTCCAGCCTGCTACAACTGTCATCATATTCGTAAATTCAACACGCATGTTTTAATTTGATGATGCTATTGCATGTTTATAGATAAGAAGTGCCATAAAGGATATCAATCGGCAACGTTGACATAAAAGTAGTGAAAAAGTGCATCAAAACAATGCAAATTGTATTTGAATAGACCAACGATTTAAGTTGTAAAAATATTTGAAAGCGCATATATAATGTGTTCTTAAACGAAAGGAAAAGAGGAAACCACTGCAGAAAAATAAATTATGAATTAGTATTAATATCCCCCCTCCCTCCCTTCCATATTGCTCGTAGCGTAAATACTTTAGTTATAATAGCTGTTGTGCAGTGTGAGTGTTAAATACTGGAAGCACTTGGTCTCTCCTCCCTGGTAAACATCGCTGCTACATTACACCGGCAGCTTACAGAGGTAAGGTCTTGTCTTGGTGATTTTCGGTATGATATTCTTTAATATTAGAGGAAATTTGCTTGGAGAATTTTTTCACGCGACATTATCTTTTTTTTTTTTTTTTTTTTTTTTTTTTTTTTTTTTTAATAGAGGCTGCGTTTTTCTGCCAACTATAAACTCTAAATCCATCTGGACGTCTGCAAAACTGAATTTTTCTTCTCAAGAATCCTGTAACTTTCCTTTTCGTGAGCCCATATAATATTTCCCTCTCATAAGACCAATGACTTGAGTTTACATCGGTATTTACATGTTCTTATACTAAAACGCTGTTCTTTTATATTGGGCCTATGCTCTCTTTCGATCACAATCTAAAGTAAAGCAACCCACCTTTCTTCCACCCGTTTGCTCCTATTACTGCTCTCCTAACCTAGTTATCCCTTTATCCCAAATGGCAGAAAAGGCGCTCATCCCCCCACACATTCCCTTTCATAGTGGTTCCTCAGCAGCAGTGACCCATATTATAAGCCCTTACACGGATGTGGATTCCCTCTTTGAGTCAATCTCGGCTGGCTGCCCGGCTTCTGAACCAATTATGACATTAGTCTTTAACTCTCTTTTTTTTTTTTTTTTTTTTGGTGACGGGAGAGACTGACAGCAGCTCAAAGGGATGCTGTAATGTGTAGAAGGATGTCGACGTCATTTCTACTTTGGGAAATGTCTTGAAGTTTACCAAGAAGTTTATGGTAGCAGAAGTTTAAAGTTCCTTGACCTAAACAACAACGAGCATGCTAGGGGAATGTGTAAAAAAAATTACGGCTCAGTGGGGAGGTGGAAGTGCATAAATCGCTGCATGTGTTGATGTTGGAAGACTTTTTCGCCTACCAGACACTGGCCATTGAGCACGACACCTAGCACGAGATGAACCAAAACAGCCCACGGACATAACCACGTATCCTGCTTTCACACATGGTCGTGCCTGTCAGGGAAACGTCGTCTCCTGTCATTAATTAAAAAATATTGTTTCTTGGGGATAAATGGTATAAAATACCGACACGATGGAAAAAAATACACAAATGCAGTATAATGCGATCCTTGATTGACTACATTTCGTAGTCAATAAAGTTTGTGACTTCATCAAGTCACAAACAAATGTGTTAGTGACTTGATAAAGCCTACCATGTGGGCGAAACGTAGTCAATAAAGAATGACATTATACTGCATTTATGTGTGTTTTCCCACATCGTTTTTTATTGACCCAGAAGTATAAGAGTAACGAGAATATTTACTCCCGCATTAAGAATGGAGAAGCTGTACGGCGAATTAATGGGGAAAGTGTCGGTGCTTCCAGTCCATTGGTTTACTACTCTCACTGTACCATCCACCTCCATCAGGTACTCGACCTTGGCTGGAAGGACCTTAAAGTTAAACCTTACATCACCTTCTCTATGCAGTGCCTTAGTTGCCTAAAGTTTGGACCGCAGGAATGTAAACTCAAGGCTCTTCATACGATTCACTCCTGTCCAGGGGTAGTGCCGTGTCCTAATTACGAGTTCTCACATATAACAAAGGAAAGAAACTCCTTTATAAAGCGGAATACAGTTTACAATTAACATAGGGGTAATTGACATGTATAATAAAGCCCGTTGTATATATGAAACAACACCAGTAAAGTCCGCTGCATGGGTGAAACATCAATGGGTAATACTTAATCAATAAAGCATATTCTGGGGATTAAACGTAATTTAGGCGAACTATGTGGGCGAAACATCAGTAAAGCCCGCTATGTGTGTGAAACCTCTCCAATAAAGCCTACTGTGCGGTTGAAACGCCAACACACACTGTGGGCGAGACATCAATAAAGCCTACTCTGTGAGTAAAG